AGGAGGATGGGTAGATCTTTGGATGCAGAAAACATGGGAACAGCAGTGATTCTTAAACATTCATGCTTTGCATCTTATTTTTTCTTTCTTTTTTATATCTTTGGGCATTAAACATCAAATGGTGACTTCTCATATCCCCAGCATTGAAGAATATTCATGATATCAACAACAGTTAGATAGCCTACAATGCCACTTCAAAACGTAAACATATCAGAGGTTCAATAAAAAAAAATAATCTTATAATAATACAAAAACTGGGGAGAAAAAAACATATTAGTGAAGAAACAATGTTAAAACGCTTTTTATATTTGTTCAATTCAAAACAAACATTTTAACGATTTTTTTCACTAATAAATTCAATGCCTTGACCAAAAGCTATGGTGTGAAAAGATGAATTTGACTACATTGAGCCAATGTATTTGGCCATTGTAGTAGCCCAGTTGCACATATGAATCTATTCCACTAGAGGGCGCAACATCCTCACGCTTGGGCTTATCCCTGAGGAAATGCTGAGGCAGGACAGTGGAAACTGCAGCTGTTGTACACACAGACATAAGCACAAGATACTGTTTGATCTGCAAGCTGCTCTAATGCTTGAATGTGGAGAATCGTTCAAATATGTATTGTATGTTGCTCAATGAACTTTTAATATTTACATTTCTACAAAAACTTGTTTTCAATAGCATCATATAGAGAGACTGAGTGTATTCACATATAATCAAAATCTATAAAAACAAATATCACTGTAGTTCTCACTTACATGACATGACATTTTTGTCTAATAACTATTGATATGTTCACTAAGCTATTTAGATTTTTTCTTAAAAAACCAGGATTGTGTTTGTATTCTATTTCCACTGTATGTTGTAAAGATGATCTTTGTTTGAGGATTTCAACACGATAAAAGAAAAGTGTATGACATGCAGTAGGCCTGAAGCTCCCTCCACTCTTTATTCTTGGAGGCCAGAGGCTCCAGCCGCTTTTGGCCCCAGGCAGATCCCGACGACACAAACACAGCAGATTAGACATGCATTGAAAACAATGGATATATCCATAAATGAAACAGAAGATCTCTTAAAGAGCTGTAAATCCCTTAAATTATCAGTAAATTGACCAATCCGCCCCGTGATAACTCAAGTTCTCCGGTGGCTTTCAGGCAGGGGGCCCTTAATAGCAGCACACCCTGCATACATTCCTTAAGCCATGACTTACACGACTGAGGTTGTCGTTGAGAATATAACAATGCAAAGCAGTGCTTTCACCTTAAAAACTCAAAATAAACTTAAAATATAAGGAAAAGAATAATTCAATTCAAAGCGTTTGGTTTCAGTGCTGTCAAAGTTCAGCACAATATTGTTTTCTTTTTCTAAACATGAAAAAATGAATATTCAAAACGTTTGTGAAAACAGATTCCCTCTTTAATCCAGCTGTTTTGTTTCTGCGATTTTTATTTATTTACTTATTTCCTACTTGCTTTGATTCTGTTTTATTTTGCTATATTTTAATCATGTAAAGCACTTTGCATTGTCTTTGTACTGAATTGTGCTATACAAATAAATTTGCCTTGCCTTGCCTTGCCTCAAAGTTTTTGAGTAATTTAGAATATTTAAGTTTGAAGTACTTACATTTTTTTTACACAATTTAAACCATGATGTGAAACTTGTAAGTACCTTAAACTAAAATATTCTAACTTACTCAAAAACTTTGAAGTAATCAGTTTCCGCACAAGCTTTGAGTTTTTTGAAGTATTCGGTTTTAAATGTGGAGAATAAGGATATTTAACTTGGAGCAATATGCATACAGTGATTTCTAAATAAACACATCCTACTTTATCATGCATGTGCAGTTACATTTGGTTTTCCAAAACCTACATTTCTTAATGATGAAGTTTTACAAAAAAATGTGATGAAAAAAATGTGCAACAAATAAGTATATTCTAAGCAGACTTTGAAGGTTCTGCCCTCTGCTGGCTTGGTGGTCTCATGAGAACGCCTATCAACACAGAACAGGTTACAAAAGTAAAAACTGTATAACAGAGAACTTTTGAATATGATCATTTCAATTTATTAAATTACTTTTGCTCATTGTCTTAGATAGCAAAAGTTCAATGCACATTTGTATTATAACACCTGGCCAACAACTTAATCATGTACGGTCATAAAGTTTAATAAAACAACCTCTAATTCTCGCTCATACCTTTTGGTTTAAGAATGCAACATAATGCATTTCTTAATAGTTAACTAACATAGTGGTGATTTTTGCGTCACACTCTGAACAACACCAACATTCAGTAAATTAACCTTTTATCTAAATAAGAAAATATGAAGGAAGAGTATCCTCACCTATTACGATTTGAAAAGCATTGAATAGCAACAGAAATTAGATTTAACAAAAAGGGAAAAAAACAACATCCAAAGCATCTAAATTAATCATGTGACTATTACACAAAACTAATTTTGTAATATCCGTTTAATGTATTGTTTGGGCACTTTACCAAAGATGAATGGGGCCCCCCATGGAAAAAGATATATCTTCCACTATTCTAAGAGGAAAGTCTGAAATTTCCCTCTTTTATTTCAGAATTGCTAAGGCAAAAGACAGATTTAATGGACATATTTTTAGTTGTGTAGCAAGAAGTTTGGTTAAAAATAAAATGTAAAATTTGCCCAGCATGAAGCATATCAAAATGGGGCCCAATAACAATTTCTGCCCCTGCATCAACTAACGTTGCACCACCTCTGTAGTTCTTCTAAACCCCATAAAGCAGAAAAGTCTTTTTTACTCATCTTAAAGCACTGTGAAAAAAACGCACACAGATTTACTCTACTTTTGGTTATATTTAAATGCTTCACGTCACCAAACAAGTTTTATTTTTTAACGAATATAACTTTAGTTTAGTTTCTTTATGATGATATTAATCAATAAAGGCCAAACGGTATCCAAACATGTAGAATATTGTAAATATCAGACAACCTGAGCAGACAAAAAATAAATATCACAGCAACAAAGACAACAACATCTTGATGATCGCCATTTTTTTTGGTAAAGTTTGTTCTCTGGACTCATAATAAAAAAGTCATAAGGTGTAAAACAACATTTTAGCGGGAGAATTATGCTAATGGTCAAACATACTGTAGTAGGAAGAGGGTATGGATCAGGAACTGGGAGACTTTTTGTTATTCAATTCTTTAAGCTAATATCCTGAAGGATAATGTGTTGTCCTTGGTTTGTAAAGCGAAAGAGCACTTGGGTTAAAAAGCAAGACATTGTAAAAAAAAAAAAAACGCACACCAGAGAGTTAATTGTTAAATAAACACTAAACAATAACAAAAGGTTTTGAAAGGTCATGCAAAAAATAGACTAAAATCCAATGAAAATGGTATTCCTTAAACAGGCTGTTCATGTTCAAAAGTCCTTAAGTGGGACCAATTTAAGACTATTTTACAAAAATGGCAATATATTTATGAAAAAAAGCAATTAATTTACCTTGTTTTTCTAAAAAAAAAATGAAATAAATTGATTTACATGTCAAAAATGTGAAAATGTACACATCCATCGTCAGATATCAGAGGATTTTATTGATGCAATGAAGTTGCATGCAGACCATCAACATCAGACCTCTTCATCTTATTGCTCATCGTTCTCTAACCAGCGCATCCTTCTGCTACCAGAACGCCCTGTAGCTCCGACTGGCAGGCTGAAGTCCTTCCAGGGGTTCCCCATTCACACAGCCTGCCTGGTTGCCTGACATTAATACAGAGGGCGGAGGGAGGATGAGGAGAGGGGAGGGAGGGAGGAGAGAGAAAGAGAGTTGAGACGCTCCTTTCTCACTTGGCTGCATTCGGTTTACCGACACCGGAGAAGCGACCATGCTGTGGAAACTAGTTGAGAATGTCAAGTATGAAGATATTTATGAGGTAACGTTGCCATCCAGCTGTTTGTGACGTTGGATAATAAGCTTGGCAGAAAAAAAAATCAAGATAAATGCTAGAAAGAGTTCAATTACAGAGATTTAGGCCTGGGTGGTATTTTTATCTGCTGAAGAATTTGCACCGATTTTAGTTGTTTGAAGTATCTAAATAGCTGAAAATGTTTTATGTTGTCATGATTGCTTTTTTTCCTTTGTTTCTGATGGAATATAATAGACAAATTGAGCGTATATATATTTTTTTTTGTGCACATTTTAAGCGTTATTCTGATAACTGAGAGATTGTTGTGTAATTTAGTTAAACACGGATAAATATTCTTATGCTGTTTTCAAAGATATACGAATAACAAAAAAGTTCTGCTTAAAATCATAAATGTAGAAATTCTGATAAAATGTTTGGAATAAGATTTAAAAGTTTGCTTGAAAAGTAGAAAAAAAGATTCATGTAGGTGAATTTGTGTTGAGCATGTAAACATTTTCATTTTGAAGCAGTAATGTGTTTTAAAGTTGTGACTTAAAGGAGGGGAATTTGGGATGTGCGGAGGATAATTACGCAGCGCGCGCAGGGGGGGAGAAAGGCTTGCATCGGCTCGCGCTGAATGGGCTCCATCACAAAGCGAACGAGGCCCCACGGCAGCGTGGAGCCCGGTGGGAAGCCCTTGTTTCGTGCAGCACATGGCTTTTCTCCCACGATGCGAGGGGAGGGGAGGGCGGCATGTTGTTAAACAAATCACACAAAAAGGGCAAAGAGCATCAAGTTTAATCGCTTCTGTAAACTCGTGACACCATTCATAAGAGTCCCTCTTGCGCACGACGCTGGGCGTTGGGTTTGGAGGGCAAAAAAAAAAAAAAAAACATGCTGCTGGAGGTCAGTTTTAGATTTATGGATCCTTTGTGTGACATTTAAAGTAAAATCTAATAAAAAGAGGCATGAAGCAGTGTGAATTAAGTTGTTTAAAACAACTCGGACGCTTACTGGCGTTTCGTTTACGCAGAATATGTTTTGCGCCATAATGTTTCCCATGTAAGAAGATGCGCTTTATTGGGTCAGAATCTTTCCCTGAAGTGCCAGTGGGGAATTCCTCACTTTCTCAAGCTACTCCTCTTTCCTGTCTCCTTTCGGCTCTCCACGGAATTTCAACGTCACTCACGGCTGCGCGGACGGCTTCACGCTCCATGTGTCGCCAGTCCCCTGCCACGACGCGCATTAATATTCCTGTAAGTCTCAGTCATGAATAACAATTACACCGTGCACCGGAGGTAGAGGCGGTAGCTCTGTGCTCACAGTCACTCAGAGCGGCGGCAGCTCCGGGCACAGGAGGGTTCTGCATGGAGATATAGAGCAGGCCTGCCTGCAGACACACGGGGGCTTCTACTTACGCATGGAATGAGTTTTTTTGTCGGTTTGGACCGAACACGTACTATTTTGTGCTGACATTTGACTCTGAGCCTGCTCTGGCTACCATCACACTTTACAGATGTTAGTTCATCCCTACTCCGCTGGGGTGAGTTTTCTTTTAGACTGGATGTTTCAGTAGATGTTGCTTAAAGGGTTTGTAACAGTTTTCCTTCAGGCTTTATGTGTTTCTGTCCAAAAGTGTCAGTGCCAGTTATTTAGATGCCAATTGATACGTGTTTTGAGATGGTTTTGGTTCCTTAATATATATTTATGTTTGTGTGTTTTTGTTTTGTTTTCTGCTTGTTTTCTGCTCGCTGTTAAAGGACCGGCACGATGGCGTTTCAAGTCACAGTTCGCGCTTATCCCAGCTGGGCTCGGTGTCGCACGCCGGACCCTACTCCAGCGCGCCGCCGCTGTCTCATGCGCCTTCCTCGGAATTCCAGCCTCCATATTTCCCTCCGCCGTACCAGCCGCTCGCTCACTACCAAAGCCAGGACCCGTACTCCCATGTAAGCGACCCGTACTCCCTGAACTCGCTCCATCAAAGCCAGCAGGGCGCATGGGGTGCGCGCCAGCGGCAGGACGCCGCCGGGGACAGGATGGAGAGCTCAGCGCTGTTGGCTCAGCCCCGGGCCTCTCTGCCTCAGCTCAGCGGGTTGGACCCGCGGCGGGATTACGGTGGAGTTCGGCGGCCTGACTTGCTGCTGCACTCAGCTCATCCGGGACTGGAGCCCGGGATAGGAGATGGACTGCTGCACGGTCTTCACGGCATGGAGGACGTTCAGGTGAGCGAAAGCGGAATGCTAAAAATTACAGAACCTGAATTTTATATTTATACAATTCTTGGCAAGAGATTTCATAATAGTCTCACCCTTGACCTCTTCGTCTCCATTCTTAATTTTTAAATCTATTATTTTGTGTTTTATCAATTATACCTAATATAAATTACTATAGCTTATTTTAACTACATTTTTTAACATATCTGGAATAAAATGACTGATATCTTAATCAATCAATACGAGAGAAAAAAACAATAAAATAAAAACCAAGATGAGCTATTTGTGTCTGGTAGTTTTTCTTATTTAGTTCCGCATATTTCGCGCATGTTTAAAGGTTAAGGTGATTGAACTGAGATCAATCCCCTCAGGCCTGAACCCTCACAGCTGTAGCCTGACACACTAAAGGCCCGCAGCAAATATAAATCATGTTTGATACTGCCACATGGAAAGGTACGGATGCGTGCGTAAAACAGTCCCCCGTGCCAGGATCCGAAGCTTACGAATGAATTTTTTTTTTATTCATTTAACCCATTTTAAAACCGGTCTTTTAATATACAGAGAACATGAAAAGTCATCCATTGAGACTGACGTTAACGCTTAAAAAAATAATAATAAGTCTCAGTTTGTTTCAAGCCAGCTGTTTAATTAAAAAAAATGTAATTACGTCTAATGGTTTCACTTTGCTTTTTATGACTTCATATTATTTTGTTTTTATTTTGTTTTGTCTTATTCTATAAGGAAGGGATTGGCTTTATGATCAGCTGCAGGATTTCTTCTATCTCCTCTCGTTTCCCCTCAGGGCGCAGCCATCATGAGCTGTTTGTCATTTAACCCCCAATACAATCTAATTTCTTTCGTTCATTCATGTTATGCATTTATCAACCCAATATAACATCGTTACCAGGCTTTTATTTCTTCAATTTCCTATATTCTGGTTTGAAGACTGATGCTATATTTCACAACAATACATGATAGAACACACAGCTTATCATTTTTGACTCAGGTTCGAAAACACTGCTAATTTCTTACAGGGTATTATAAACAATCATAAAATTTAGAATATTGTCTGAATGCAGGATAACCAGATATCGTGCCAGTATGTGCAATAGTATTATTATTTATCTTCTTCAGGTTTTGTGTGAAATAGTTCGGCGATTACGTTAATTTGCGAGTTATAGTTGGTTATTAAATCGTGAGTAATTTTGCATGAAACTGCATTTGATGATTTGTATTCATCTTGCTTCTAACAGACCATTGAAGACGCCAACGGAACCAATATCCTGGATCAATCTGTAATTAAGAAAGGTACGCACACTTTACTCAGCACACAACATTTATTCTTCTCCATCACAAATGACAAAAAGACTTATTGCAGACATTCGCAGGCGTCTTAAAGAATTTATTTGCGTAATAAGGTATACAAATATATGTATATATATATATATTTATATATATATATATATATATATATATACATTTAATTTATCTGCACCCTCAACACCAAGTCAAATTATATATATATATATATATATATATATATATATATATATATATATATATATATATATATATATATATATATATATATATATATATATATATATATATATATATATATATAGCTTTCATGAAAGACATTTTTAAGTTATTTGACCATATTTGTTTTGTTTGTTTTTTTAAAAACGAACTAGGCATACTTGTTACTAAATAGTGTATCTATTATGTTGTTAATTGTTCTTGTTCTTTGTTGTTATTAGGATTATATAAGAGTCCATCGTTTTAGCAGGCAAGAAAATGTTTAAGCATGTTTGGTATTTGGCAGCTTTCTGATTGTGGCACAGATTCACAAAGGTTTGTTACTCGTCTGTATTTTTTGGCTCCTGTTTGGGGGGCAAGACCCTCTCCCTACCTCCACCCCCCATTCCTGGGAGTCTAGGGTGAGCAGTTTGGAGCAGAGTTAACGACCCCGGTATATTGACTGGCAGGCACTGTGTTGCTGACAGGCTGCCACGATGATGTGCGGTGATTTAGTTACGGGATGTTGAGTGACTGAGCTCCCCGCGGGGCATTTAAGCCGCTGATGTAATAAATGGCACCGCTCACGGAGATCTCGTGAGCTCGTTTAGAGCTAATCTGCGGTATTATCCCCCGTGGAGCCTTAATAAAAATAAAAAAAATCCACATCGCCCGCTTTATACAGGATACAGGAGGACGGTTGGTTGGCTGGGTGCTTGCCTCTTTTTAAACGCCATTAACGCGCTGGATAGAGGCGCTTCCAGTGGTGCTGGTTGGAGCTAAACTGGCCGTGGAGGGTAGACTGGGGTGTGGGTAATGGGATTTGAGAATGCGAGCCAATCAACAATCGATAATACTATAATGAGAATGTCGCGCGACATTAAATAACAGCAAATGCGCGGCACGTGCGCGCATCATTAGGCCACGACCGCAGAATGAAGTGCCCACGTGCCGAGCACTGAAAAAGAAAAATGATTTGAAGCTCCATGGTCGGGTCAGGAAAATGTCCCGTAGCCTACATTAAAAACGTTTAACTTCTTATTACCTTCCCTTCCTCTTTCAGTCCCTATGCCCCCCAAGAACATGGGCTCTCTGATGCTTGGCAAGGAAGGCCTGATCGGAGGAGTCACCGTCAACATTAATGAGGTGTTCTGCTCGGTACCGGGCCGCCTGTCGCTGCTCAGCTCCACCTCCAAATATAAAGTGACCGTAGGGGAGGTGCAGAGGAGACTGTCCCCACCTGAGTGCCTCAACGCCTCTCTGCTCGGAGGTGTGCTGAGAAGGTAAAAGACGCGCAAATTACGCAATTCTGAATATTGAAACCCCGATTCTTAATGAGCAGTCACTTAAATTGATCCAAATAAAATTACAACTAGAAGTCTTTTTCCTGTGTTATACTAAACCTTAATCAAATGGGCATTGTTCTTTTTTTTCTTCCAGAGCAAAGTCTAAAAACGGTGGCAAATGCCTGAGGGAAAAACTGGAGAAGATCGGATTAAATCTACCTGCTGGGAGACGTAAAGCGGCCAACGTCACGTTACTAACATCTCTCGTAGAAGGTGAAAACTATGTAATGCTGTGGCTAAATGGCTCTGAAAGTTCATTTACTTTTTGCTGCACATGGCTGACTTTTAAATGAGTCGGAGCGAGTGTAAAAGTTAGGGAAGCCGGAGGCGAAGATTTAACCAAAATGAGGGAAAGTCAATAATTCCGAAAGTCATGAACCTGCAGAGGTTGGCAATTATTATCAGTACGAAAAATACAACTATTACAAGATGAGACATGAAAAATGTCTGTTTGCACACACCCTGGCCATTATAACTTTACTTTTTAGTACATATAAAATTGTTTGTTTGAACTTTTTAAAGTTTTCTGCTGCTTATTACATGTAATAAAACCGAAGCAAGAAGCTCAGGAATAATATATTGCTTAAACTTAGCAGGCTATATAAAAATGTAATATCGATCTGACTGATAAAAGATAATTTGTATATTTTTTATTATTATTATTGAGCTTTTATGATATTTGAAATGTTTCAAAGTTTTAAATTACCTTCTACATTGTAGATCAAAAGTGCCTAATTGGTTTGCCAATTTCTATGCATTGTGTCCTGCAGGTGAGGCGGTTCACCTGGCCCGTGACTTCGGCTACATCTGCGAGACGGAGTTCCCCACGAAAGCTGTGAGCGAATATCTGAACCGGCAACACGCAGACCCCAACGAGCTGCACACGCGAAAAAACATGCTGCTGGCAACAAAGTGAGTCCCACAGACATTTTTTCTTTACCTTTCAAAATTTCTTTAAACAGGATCATACATGAATATTATTTACTGTATGATTTAGAGAACATCATTTAAACATAAGATTGTGTTACCAAATGCCTAAAATCCAAAATACAAGATGATAATAATAAGTTTGGAGGTTTACTGATTCCAATATTGGTTGCTCAGTTAAATGGTATCCATAAAAACAATGCATCACACAGTGCATGTATTGGTTCAGCATTAGTTCAAATGACACCCACTGGTATATCATTTATAGGGCCTCTGTGGACCCAAAAACCCATCCAATCCAAAACCTGGTATTTTTTAACAAATCCATTTCCTCAGTGAAGATTGTGACATTTTAAAAGCGGGATTTTTCTAATAAAACCCACTGGACTCAGTTTAAATGAAACATTTATTAATGGGGATAAAGGCCACTCTAAAAAATTCCAGCAGTTAAACTTGGTTTAAACCTGTTAGAAATGTATATAATTCTTCATTGAAATCAGGCAAACTAAAGACAAGATGAAAATGTATGCTTTATCACTTTTTTATTTTATTTTATTAGATTTGACCTTATTAAAGCAAAAATGGATGTGAAGTGTATGTAGTCTGTTCCCATAGGAATTCACATACAATAGCTGCTATAAATTTATGCAGTTTTTAGGCATTCTGGAGTTTAATATTTCATCTTTTTTATGATTTAAAAGAATCCTCTAGTGTTTTTTTTTATTAACTGGTGAAGATTTAAACTTCTGACATTTTTTAGGAAAGTAAAGCTATTTTTTATTGTTGTTTTAAGTGTTGTATTCAGTATTGGATTGTGCTTTCACTTTTAACTCATGGGTAGTTTTTCCAATATCTCATTGGCTGAAAAATATTTATAAACAACATAATAGTAGATATTCTAACTTATCAAGAAGAGCTCAATGTCAGTTCACTTTTTTAATTTAAAAACTTCCAATCACCCAACAAAGACCTCTTCTAATATTTATAGCTTGCATTAATAGCATTGTCTGCAGGCTTGCATTGGATAAACCATCTGCCTGCTTGTGCATGTGTTTTTGTGCAGAACTGCATGCATGGTGGGTGCTTGGTGGTGGATGTTTGATGCCCAGATTCAAACCTGTTCCAATAGTGTGTCGATGCTGCCTGTTAGAAATTCATTATTTAGCAGTGGAGTGTTTCAAGTCGTCAGAAAACAACAGCGAGAGCCCTGAGTGTTGCCTGGGGTGGCGGCTTCTCCTCTCTTACTCTCCTAACCCCAGCTGGGCTCGGCCTGCACAGCCTGTCACTCATTTAGCTCTGCCCTTAGGCCACCTCCAGCTTGAATGTGTGTGTGTGTCTGAGCATGGACCTGCAATAGTAAGGAGGTCTGCTGAATATAAAATGTGGGCCCGAGCCAGGGAATGATTTGGGTGAAAAGTAATATGGAAAATAAAGTGAAAATAGTAATTTTATTTATTTATTTATTTATTGTAACAATAAAAAAGAAAAACAAATAACTGGAGATTAATGAACAACCTTCTTCATCATGTTAGATCATGGTATTCTACAAAAAAAAAAAATCCTTTTTTATTTCCTTTATTTAAATATAAGATTGTGACTTTTGTGTGGACTTGATATATTTTTCATTATAGTTACAAAAATTAGGAATGTTACATCCAATTTAGATAATAGGTTTATTTCAATAGCTTTAGTTCACACTAAATGTCAAGGTACTATAAAGGCAATACAGTTATAAACCATAGAATCACATTTAGTCCAATTCAGTTCACTTGAATCAAGTGTGGTCCAACAGTGTGGCCAGTTTCAGGTCCTATAACAAAAACAAAACAAATGATTCTATCCTAACTGCAACAAATGAAAGTAAAATTCACTTGATTCTTGAATGCTAGGGTGAAGAGAATATGCACCTTGTAAACCTCAACAAAAATAAATCAGTGAAAGGCAATAGGTACATCTACATCAAGAATTTTAAAAAGTTAAATATAAATATCAAAATGACGAGAAAATAATTATCTTTAATTTGCAAATATGAAAAAAAAAATACAATCCAAGTAAGTACATCTTTCTTGCAATAAGTGTGTTTCCTGTTGATATGAGCAGGTAAATAAGAGATTTGTCAATGGAATAAAATAATATGTTTAAAGTAAAAAAAACAACAACACTCTACTATCTTATTTAAAGTGCATAATATTGAAATGTCTGATTTAAAGGCAGAAATGCTCATCCATTGCCAGATCATCTTATTTATTTGCTCAAATTAAGGACAAATACCCCTTTTTAAGAAACCTTTACTTATTCTTAAATATTTATTTTTGTTCACAGGAAAACACCTGGCTTAATAATTTTATTTATAGGGGTACTTTGTATTATTCTTTCAATATTTCTGTAAAATGAATTATGTGTTATATAAATATTATTTGAATATGAAATTAGAATAAAAGGCACAGGTATTTGAAAATATTTCATCTTACAGGAACTCATAGGAAAAAAAATCATATGTGGAAACTATCCCTCAAAACAAGTAGTCAACATCTTTTTAAAATTACATTTGAGCAAATAACATCAGCGACATCATCTTCCCATAAGTCTGTTTGCCCATGTTGTTGACAATAATTTTAATGCAACAGATTGTTTTAAGTTCTGATAAAAGCTCAATTAGTAAACCCACTTACCTGTAAAATATGGCTTGAAAAGACAGAAAAGGAGGACTTTGCCACCCTCCTTTTTACACACGTGAGTGTGAAAAATTTCACCTATAAGGATTTACATATAAAAATATTTATTAATGTCTAAAAAAGGTGAAAAAAGGAGTAAGAGCTCCTTACAATTTGACTTTTAATGTCCTTCTTTAACCTAAATAGACCTAAATATTCTGATTCTAAAACAAGTGGTTTCAATCTATCCTTTGAGCAGGAATTTATTCATTCAAAATCCAGGCTCAAAATATATTCCTTGTGAAGGCATCTCAGTCTGATTTTAAAGAGCTCTAGGCATTCAGCAAGACTGCAAACTCAGGCCCAAGGAGGAGGCATTGTTGAATTTTAAAACTGAACCCTGTGACTCTCAGCTACACTGCAAAAAATATAAATCTCAATAAGTTATTTTTTCTTAAAATAAGTGTGTTTTTCCTTGATTTGAGGAGGTAAGTAAGACACTTTGCCAATGGAACAAGACAATTTCCTTTTAAAATAAGAAAAAACTATTTTATCGTCTTATTTCAAGTAAATATTATCTAACTATCTTATTTTAAGAGTGAAAATACTCATTCCATTGGCAAATCATCTTATTTACCTGCTCAAATTAAGGCTAAATATACTTAATTTAAGCCATTTTTTACTTATTTCTGGATTGTTTTTGCAGTGTAGCTTTGAAATGGGTTAAGTGCAGCATTATTCAAATCTCCCACAAAAATTACAGTAATCACATCCAGATCAAATTATGGGGTTGTAGCATTTCAGGGCCTGAAGGAAATCTTGGGCTCTGGAGGACGCTGCCCATTCTGCCTGATCAGTAATTAAGGAAGCCTACGTTCTGTGCCAGTCATGCCATTAAGATTCTCAAAGGAAACAATGAATAAACTTTTGCCTCATTCAGAGCATTTCAAAAATATTGAAATCCCTTGAACCTTTACACTCTTTGTCTTATTGGAATTTTTTTTATGGATCAAAAGTGGTGCATGCATTTGTATTCAGCTCTCTTTAACCTGATACTACAAAATAAAGTTCACAATTCCTGATGCTAGTTGTTCAAAGAAAGAAGGGCTTCCCAGAAGATCTGTGTTCATACTGATCACAAAAAATACCAAGGTATAATTCATTTACTTGTTACATTCGACTCAATAGGGTTAAAAAAACATATGCTACAGAATACAAACAAATTTCCTTTTAATCTACACTTATACAACTCTTTATCTTATAAATTCCCATCATTGCCTGCATGAAGCTTTTTTAATAATCCCTGGAAATACTCAAGAGGGACACATTAATCTAAATAAAAACATCCTCTGAGAAAATGTTTTCCTACCAAGGGACATACCTACATCAGAAGCTTTTCGTGCTCTTTTTCATCAATCAATCAAACAATCAATCAATCAATCAATCAATCAATCAATCAATCAATCAATCAATCAGTCAGTCAGTCAGTCAGTCAGTCAGTCAGTCAGTCAGTCAGTCTGTCTGTCTGTCTGTCTGTCTGTCCGTCTGTCTGTCTGTCTGTCCGTCCGTCCGTCCGTCCGTCCGTCCGTCCGTCCGTCCGTCCGTCCGTCCGTCCGTCCGTAAAGATAAAAGTCCTAGACAGTAATGACTTCTTTGTTTTAGGTCTTGGTATTCATAATAATGAAAACTGTTTTTCTTCTCAAAGCCATATTGTAGTATTACTAAAGCAGATTTCTAGCCTTAAACTTTTCTGGGCCTTCTCACCTGCAGACAGCTGTGTAAGGAGTTCACGGACCTGCTGGCCCAGGACAGGACTCCCCTGGGCAACTCTAGGCCCACCCCTATCCTAGAACCTGGCATCCAGAGCTGCCTCTCCCACTTCTCCTTCATCACACATGGCTTTGGCTCGCCAGCCATCTGCGCCGCTCTCACCGCCCTGCAGAACTACCTCACTGAGGCTCTCAAAGGACTTGACAAGATGTTCCTCAACAACCCGCCCAACAACCGGCACGGGGACGCTGGCAGCAAGGCCGGCGACAAAGAGGAAAAGCAGCGAAAATGAAGCAGGCGCAGAAGGGGGAGTGATGAAGGAGAGGCAGGAGGAAGGCCGACACACTGACAGAAGCGTTACACAGTTTCTTCTAGCTTTTACATCGCTGCTACCGCCCTGCCACACACAAGGCTGAGGTGGATGACAGGAAAGGCATGGTATAGAGAGAACGGCAGAGGAAGACACCCATGGGCCAGTGTTTGAACGCACAGAGGGATTTTTCATCTGTGTTACGTTTTTTCATTCCCCTGAGGACATGGTGGTTACTGTGTTCCATCCATTTTGCTCCCCCCGCCTGCATCCTGAGAGACTGAGATGCTGTGAGCAGCCAACAAATGACAATGTGTGTGTGAGTTTGCGAGGGAGCGTGTGCTTGTGTTTTTTGTCTTCACACAGAAAAAAAAAAAGCATTGTGGGTTTGGAGATTTTCGTTGTGCTGCAGCATTCTGTGAAACAGGCCTGTCTGGTTATTTAACAAGAGTACAATGAGGGATGACTTAATTTATGTGTGTAAATATTTATTTATAATTATTTAAATTGTTGAAATAGGTGCACCATCTACTTTGGAGTAGACCTATTTTATATGTGATTTGACCATTGTGAGCCAGTGGGGAGGGAGAAGGCAGGACTCGTTCAGTGTTTTTTTGTTCTTATAGAGCTGTTGTCATGGTGCTGATGCTGATGATGATGGGTAGAAATGCTTCTAATTGTCCAGTGATTTCATTTCTATCACATTGATAATAAACCATGTGTTTCATAATGTGAGGTGTGCAGCCTGGGCCTTTCCTCCTCAAAAATCGTCTGGTAGAGTCCGACTAATGTTGGATCAATAGCCACAACATTCCCTCAGTTGTTTTGCTTGAGAGCGGTTAAAATGATCCCACCAAAAATGGGACTAATGATGTTTTTTTTGTTGTTTTTTTACTGTGTTCTGATACCTAAACAGCCCTTAAACTGCTCATATGTGTCATGTAAACAGTCACCAGTCAGGTGGTAGACCCGAGTCTCGCACTTGAGTTTCAACAAAAGTATAAAACTTTAAGCTAGTTAGAAGAAAATAACCAAATATGTTTTCATTTCTCATTGATTTTTTTTCCAAAACCTATAGATATAAAAATCTTTATTATGTATACATAGCTAGAACTAGTAGTCGGTCTTGTTCTCATTAATATAGGGGCTTTTTCCGTAGTGTAAAGTGCATAAAGTTTTTCCATTTTATTATAAGAAGAACTGAAAATGATCTTGGACTAAAACAAATGTTATCAAGCATCAAATCAAACAATATTATGGTTTTTGCAATGGATGGCCTAATCTGGTTCCGGTGTTCCTTTTAATTATTGTGAAGTCAAAGAAAAACAAACCTGTCTCTTTGCATTCAGCTCCTTTACTTTCATACTTTACCTTAAATCCCATTTTTTTTATTTTGGTTTTTCATGTGTTTTAAAAAAATAAACCTTGAAGGGACTCAAAGAACACAGTTTTATTCATACTGCAATTAAACTTAAGGCAAGGCAAGACAAGGCAAATTTATTTGTATAGCACAATTCAGTACAAAGACAATGCAAAGTGCTTTACGTGATTAAAATATAGGAAAATAAAACAGAATTAAAGTAAGTAGGAAAGAAAAATTTATTAAAATAAAATAAAAAATGCAGAAACAAAAAAGAATATTAAAAACAGTTGGACTAAAGAAAACAAAAAAAAGTTTAATGATGTTTCAGTTCAACTGTTTAACTAGAACAGTCGAAGGCAATCCTAAACTAATGTGTTTTAGTCTTGATTTAAAGGAACTCAGGCTTTCCGCACTTTTACTATTTTCTGGAAGTTTGTTCCGGATAAGTGGAGCATAGGAGCTAAATGCTGCTTCCCCATGTTTAGTTCTTCTCCATGTTTAGGCGCTTAGTGCATTATCAAAACTTTGTTGATAAGGTGACCTCTAAAGGCAGTTTATGGCACTGGATTTCATGAAAGGGTTCTTGAATAACAGCTTTTAAATTCAATGCACACTCAATTTGTCCTGTAGAGATTTTTTTAAGCATATATCATCTTTTTACCATCTGCATTAGTCTAGCTAATATAATAATGGCCACAGGATGATAGTGCCACCATGGTGGTGGCACTATCATCCTGTGGGCATCGTTGATTATGCATTCAATTAGAAACTGCACAAGTGAAGTTTTGTTTTAATGGTTTATTTCAAACTGACTAAAACATTTTCAGGCGGTTGGGGTGGTGGCTCTACAGGAAGAACAAACAAACAAAAATATTGGGTCACATCAAATACATTGCCAGTTTTAATGTTAGAATAAATTAAGCTGATAAATATTTTTCATGGTTTACGTTCACACATTATTGGGAAACCATATAAAGTATGGGTGATGGTTATGAATGAGGGAAAGAGATAAGATTTTTCCAAAGTTTAAAGGTCAACTTGAGTTCCTTTATATTTTCACTCACAAATACTCATGCAAATACTTGCAGGTGTAAAATGTTTAGAAAAGGGAAGACACTTTCAGCATAGTTCTACAAGCTGCAGAGCCACGTGCCAAATATGTAAAAACACATAATCATATAAAGGTTTTTAATATGCACCAAATAAAAAAAAAAGATGCTTATAAATGGAGTAAACTAGTAAATAAAATCTCAGCAGGAAGATAATTTATGTGATCATTGTTTTTTGCTTTACAAGTAAAGATGAAGCAAATAAAGAGTTTAATACAGACCAATATTAGGTAATAACCTGAATATATTACTCTTAAAAAATAATATATATATATTATATATATGAAACTGAGAGATGTAAGAAAGCATATTTGCTTACAAATGTTTAAAGAGTGCATATCTTTAAAAATATTATTATTACTACTAAAAATAGTATTATTTATGGAAGCCCGTTTCCGCCACTCTGTAAAAAAAAAAAAAAAAACTATCTCAATATAATGAGATAGTAACTCAATATAATGAGATAGTATCTCATTATAATGAGATAGTATCTCAATATAATGAGATAGTTTCTCATTATAATGAGATAGTAACTCAATATAATGAGATAGTATCTCATTATAATGAGATAGTATCTCAATATAATGAGATAGTAGCTCAATATAATGAGATAGTTTCTCATTATAATGAGATAGTTACTCAATATAATGAGATAGTATCTCATTATAATGAGATAGTATCTCAATATAATGAGATATCATATAATGAGATAGTTACTCAATATAATGAGATAGTATCTCATTATAATGAGATAGTATCTCAATATAATGAGATAGTTTCTCATTATAATGCTCGTCATGGATTGTCCATAACGAACACCATGTTCAAGCATAAGGGTGTCCATATGTGGTAAAAAATAAAAAAAGAGTTAAAATGCAAAACAAATGAGTGTGCCCCATCTACAGAGACTAGTAGAACAATTTCCAAGTGATTTTGTGTCAATAGGTCACATGACCTGGGAGCTATTGACCAAAAATACTCAATTTTAACTCAAAAAATTGCTAAAAAAAAAAAGAGTTAAAATGAAAAACAAATAAGTGTGCCCCATCTACAGAGACTAGTAGAACAATTTCACACTGATTTTGGGTCAATAGGTCACATGACCTGGGAGCTAATGAAGAAAAATACTCAATTTTAACTTAAAAATTGGTAAAAAATAAAAAAAGAGTTAAAATGAAAAACAAATAAGTGTGCCCCATCTACAGAGACTAGTAGAACAATTTCCAAGTGATTTTGCGTCAATAGGTCACATGACCTGGGAGCTATTGACCAAAAATACTCAATTTTAACTTAAGAAATTACTAAAAAATAAAAAAAGAGTTAAAATGAAAAACAAATAAGTGTGCCCCATCTACAGAGACTAGTAGAACAATTCCACACTGATTTTGGGTCAATAGGTCACATGACCTGGGAGCTATTGACGAAAAATACTAAATTTTACCTTAAAAAATTGGTAAAAAATAAAAAAAAGAGTTAAAATGAAAAATAAATAAGTGTGCCCCATCTACAGAGACTAGTAGAACAATTTCACACTGATTTTGGGTCAATAGGTCACATGACCTGGGAGCTATTGACGAAAAATACTCAATTTTAACTTAAAAAATTGGTAAAAAATAAAAAAAAGAGTTAAAATGAAAAATAAATGAGTGTGCCCCATCTACAGAAAAAAAAAACTATCTCATTATATTGAGTTACTATCTCATTATAATGAGATAGTATCTCATTATATTGAGTTACTATCTCATTATATTGAGTTACTATCTCATTATAATGAGATACTATCTCATTATATTGAGATACTATCTCATTATAATGAGATACTATCTCATTATATTGAGATACTATCTCATTATAATGAGATACTATCTCATTATATTGAGATAGTTTTTTTTTTTTAGATACTATCTCATTATATTGCGATAGTTTTTTTTTTTTTTTTTTTTTTTACAGAGTGGCGGAAACGGGCTTCCATAATTATTTGCAGTCAGAGGGATTGTTTCCTCTCTTTTCAGGGAGAGACAATCCTCTGAAGCCAGGGCCTTATTTGGGGGAGCAGCATGGTGCCTTGAGGGCCTCGACATCCTCAGCCGGTGCGCTAATGACGACCCAACGCTAGACTCACATAGGAGGGGGAGCAGCGCAGATAGAACATGCGGAAAGATAGCAAATGAGAAAGAGAGAGACACGGGGAGAAAGAAAATCGGCTGACCGCAGGATGAAAGTGTCCTGCGGGCTCAGTGTGACCCGTGGAGTGGAACGCGGCGTGACGCAGGTGCAGAGTTCAGCACCCGCGTGTCCGCGAGCGATTCTCGCTCAACAAAAGGCAGGAAGCTGCAGAGAATCAGAAACCAAAAGACCGACAGGTTGGCTGAAAAAGAAATTAACAGAAAAAAATCGTTTGAGATTAAGATACTACACACACGCAGATAAATAAATAAATAAAAAAATAAAAATTATATATATATATATATATATATATATATATATATATATATATATATAAACAAAAAATTAAATTTTGATGTTTCATAATATTCATGTGTGTTCTCTCTGACCACAGCTTTTAAGAATATGCAACATAAGCAGAAACCCTCAGACACACATAAACACAAGCAGCTACAACATTTCTAAAAGCAGAATAAAACAGGAGAAAATAATACAGCACAAACTGCTTCCACTAATTTCATAAGACTGAAAAATTACTACTGGGATTTTATTAATCACTTCATACATAACCTGGATGCTTTAACTCAAATAAATGAAAATACAAATATATTAGGGTATTCCATATATAGCCATCTAGGTTCATAGTAATTTGGTCTTTAATGTGCATCCTTTGCAACCCCCCAGAATTAATCTTTAAACTAGATACATATCTTACACTTTTATAACTTGGATCTTATGTGATCAAATCTCACAATATTAGTAATAATAAAGTATTTTGTGTAGACAAGAATCATAGTGTTTATTGCTCTAATTTGTAAAGTAAATCCCTGTATTGTCCCACAATGGGAAAATTCACTCTCTCTATTTAACCAATCCCCTTGGGGAGCAGTGGGCTGCCATTGTGTGGCACCTGGGGAGCAGTGTGGGGTTAAGGGTTTTGCTCAGGAACCCAAAGTGTATGCTGTGGGAATCGAACTGGGTACTTTCAACCTTCTCAGAGCACAAGAACACTGCTCTAACCACTAGGAAAACACTCCCATGTCCTTTTAAAACTTGTCCTACACATAGAATTTTACATTTGTTGAAGTTATATAAAA